ATGGGGCGTATTCCTACTGCAATAGCTCTTTCCAGGAGAGGTATCAACATGTCTTCTATTTCCTGTCAAATATGTTTTAGTGGTGTGGACACTGCGGATCATATTCTCTTGGACTGTCCGATTGCTTTTGATTCCCTGCGCTGGATTTTCAATTGGTGTGACATTTCTATTCAAAGGTTCCTTTCGATTTCAGATTTTGTTAATTTTGCTGCCTCATGGGGGAACTGTCCAAAAAAGAGAAAAATATTTCTTGCTATCTGCTATGAGTTTCTATGGTGTATATGGAAAGCAATGAACGACGTTTTGTTTAACAAAATCCAAGTGAACTCTTCAAAGTTGGCGGATAATGTGATTTCTATGGTTTTTAGTTGGCTGAAATATAGGGGTAATTTTGGAAATTGTAGATGAGAATGTTGGGTTTGTTCCCCTTTTGACATTTTGTAAGTTTTGTTTTTGTTTTTTCTTTTGTGCCCGGTCTTTTTCCTTTAGGCCGTGGTTTTAATAAAATCCGCCGGTTCCAAAAAAAAAGTCATTAAGCTTACGTATTTTGTTTTTATTTTTTTTGTTTTTTGTTTTTTTTGTTTTGTTTCTTTTTGTTTTTCTTTTTTATTTATTAATTTTTTTAGTAAACTCTTTTAGATTTGATTTTTTTATTAATAATAATATTATTATTATTATTTTAATATATCTATTTTTTAAAACATGAACAATTATATGCATGTTTGTGTGTGGGTTTTGTATACGAACGAATGAATTCTATATATTGTATAACGATTATAAAACATCGATACAATATAAACGATTTTTAATTATTATCGTTTCTTTTGTTTGCCTTTTGTCTTTTATTTTTAAATTCTAAGAGTTATTATAATTCTATTATTTTTTTGTTTACAGAATGCGTACGTTACACTACGAGTTATTAATGTCTCCATTTTTTCTTTCTTACTGTCCTTATGATGAGGTTGAGGTGATGCTGGAATGAGGGTGAAGATAATTTAAGAAAATAATATTAAATTTACAAAAATAAAAAATAAATAAAAACATAGACAATCGCAATATAGTTATTTTCATGTATAACACATACGAAAATCACAAGAAAAAATAACACAGGTGTAGTTCGAACTAAAAAAAATATAGGAAGGAAATGTGATCACAATATCTACACTTAAAAAATTAATAATATTCTTTAATATTAAAAAGATAAAAAAAACAACTACATAACAAACAATCAGTTAATTAGAGAGACGCACTAGTAATTTGGTGGGGTGTATAAATTATTCTAAAAAATGTTCTCATATATTTTTCACTCGGATTCTCATTGTGAGGGTAAGAGTGGTATTGGTTGAAGGTGAAGGTGAGGGGGAGCGAGATTGATTAAATAAGTCTTAGAAAATAATATAAGTAATTCTGAAAAAATAAATAAATGAAAAAAAACATAGCCAATTACAATAAATTTTTCATATATAACTGTTGGTACGAAAATTGCTACAAAAAATAACACATGTATAATCCGAAAGAAATAGTCTGAACGAACAAAAAATAAACATTTTTAATTGTATTAATAACCATAAGAATAATATATATATATATATATATATATATATATATATATATATATATATATATATAACAAATATTAAAAGGAAAAAATACTAAAAAAAACAAAACATCAGAGATGCACCAAACAGTTGAGATGCATAAAAAATCTGGTTCACTTATTTATAGGGATTTCCTAAAAAATACCCAAAATTCTTAATAAAACTCCCACGTCAAATCCATCTAATCATGTTTTATTTTTATGTAATTTTTATTATTTTTATTGTAATTGTGTTTATAATTATTAATATTTTTTTTATTTAATCAATTATTTAAATTTAACTTATCTTATTATTTATTTTTTTTATTTAGACTACATTTCCAATTAAATTACATATTTTTCTAATTTTATTTTGTTACCAATTTATTTTTAAATAGGCCTTCTTCAAATGTACATTTAATGTTGTTTTTTATTTATATTTTTAACATTTTTTTGGTTTACATATTTAATCATAACCCTTTGATGTCTTGTTTGTTTATCCGAAACCGGTTTTTAAAAAATTGAATCATCCAAATCCTAAACTTTTTGTTTACAACTTATTTTATTTAATCCGAAAACGATTATACAGTATTCTGAAAACGTAAAAAAAACATATGTTATTTAATACATAAATTGTTAAACGTGAAAATACATATGCTATTAAATCCTAAATTGGTTATATCGATATATTATTCAATTACTTTTAGAAAAATTTATTTAATATACCAATACAAACTTATTACTCAACTTTTTTATGTACCAACAAAGAGGATTATTACTTATATTTTTGTTTTTATACCAACATAAATAGTTAGTATATATATATATATATATATATATATATATATAT